ACAACCATAAGTGCTGTTGTGTCTCATTTTCTTGTTTACAGGAAATGCATGTCCATTCATTTCCATATAAATCAGGTTGTCTTATCTTCAAGTTTTCTAGTACAGGTAAATTATTATTCATAGTTTTAATCTTGAAAGCTTTGATTTTGCTTTCTGAGAATGATGTCTCTGGTTGTCTGTTGTAAGATGAAAAGGCAAACTTTTCCATGTTCTGTCCTGAAATTGAATTTTTTATTGGATAATTTACTGAACTTTGTGGATTTTGTGTATATGCACGTGACTTTTAATTGTATTTAAAGCAAACCATTACTATTTATATTAATTTAGACATTTAGACATTTAGACATTTTTGTCTAAATACTATTTTGACCCCAAAAACAATTTAGACGCCCATCTATAGTTACTGTTAAATTAACAATTCAAAATCGTCAAGCTGCAGTTTCTGTTGTACCCACAGCATCTACTCTAGTCATTAGAGCACTTAAAGAACCACCAAGAGATTGTAAAAAAGAAAAAAATGTCAAACATGCTGGTAATATCACACTTGATGAGGTTATAGAAATTGCTTGTACATTATGATACAAATCATTTGCTAAAAATTTGAAAGGAACTGTAAAAGAGGTTTTGGGAAAATGTTTTAGTGTTGGATGCACTGTTGATGGGTTAGTTATTTCGTAAATTTATATATACAATTTATTTAATGTCATATTATTTACTATTATTATTTATTACTTGTATATGCATTGATTATTATAATTATTAGTCAAAGTCCTAGAGATTTATGTGCATAAATTGACTGGCAAAGTTGAAAGTAAAAAAAATTTAATATAGTTATATGATTCTATATTGATTTAAAATAAAAATTTACTAATAAAAAAAAATTTTTTTTTTGACATAATTCCTGAAGAATAATGAAGATGCAAAATAAAAATTTATTATTATGAAATTATTTTTATATAGTATATAATAATGATAATTAATAATTTATTACCAATAAAAAATTTTAAAGGTTCCTTGAAAAAAATACAATGCATGTATGGCTTACCAAGAAATAAAATTAATTTAATAATAATATTTAAATTTTCTCCAAGTTCAAGAGTTAAATGAAATTCTTGCTGGATATATAAGAATAACATTAATTTACAACATATATATATATGTCATGGTTTCTTTAAATTTATACATATCAATCAATAAATAAAAAGTTAATAATAATAATAATAATAACAACAATAATAATCTATTTATAATTGAACATTAATTATTGAGAAAACCCCATCTTGATACAAATGTCCAGTGCACCATTATCTATCTCTGTGTGTAATTGAAATTTAAATATTTTGTTAATTACACAAGCTCCACTCCTATCTGTCTACAATTTTAAGAATCAATGCCGCCTCATAAATTGATTTTTTGCAAGAGTTTGAATATTCTAATAACATTTTAAAAAATGTATACAAGTATTATATTCCCTGGGAACCTCTTGTTATTTATTTATCATTGTGATGTTATAAATATAAGCTAAAATAAAAGAGAAATTTATATACATAAATAAATAATAAATATAATTATTGATAAAATGTTTGTTAGAATATTTTGCAAGTTTCTTTAATGCTTATACAAACTATTGAATAATTGATAAAACCTTCATTATTATATTTTGTTCATAGATCTTGTCCTTAATGCTTATACAAACTATTGAATAAAATAGTTTTTCGTGAACCTCTCTAAAACTTATTAACCAACACCTCCATAGAGTAATGACCATATGAAAGCTTAAAGTATTCTACGTCTTCTCATTTACTATCAAATCTTTTAAAGCGATATTGAGAAATAATCTGAGCTTTGAAGTGAAAAAGTAATACCGTTTTTGAATAGCCGTGAATTCATGCAAAGAAGGCTTTTCGACATGAAAGAGTATTATTAAAAAAGCTTTAATGGACGACTTTCATTTTAGTCTAACAACGAAGTTCGAGTTTATTAGATATTTAAAAAAACGAATTTAATTTCACATATTAATATTAATATTAATATAGAAAAGCAGACTCGGGGATATGTCACACGAATACAATTAAAAATGATTTGTACCAAATTTAACCAGATTTTTAAAAAAACCGGTTATCTGAAGTATAATTTCGGATATAATTTTTTTCTACAATAACAACTTTAAATTTATTATGTTGTACATATATTTTCCATTGTTAAAAATCTCATTTTTTAATAAAAATTGAGATTTAGGATCAAAAAAATAAATTAAATCAACCAAGCTAATCAGTCAATTCATCAATTGTGATCGATTTAGATTTTATTTTTGTAAAGTATAAAGTATGGAGTTGATTAGCAGGAAGTGGATGAGACAATTCAATCTTGTAATAATAATAATAATAATTTTAATTTTCCAGGTAGTCATAAATATCTAATTAATTAAATTAGCATCATATATAAATTCTTATAACCAACCCAACCATTCATAGTTACTAACCTGATTACTTACTTGTTTACAAATTAAAAAGATAAGATCATCTATGACACAATTATCAACAACTGACATACTAAGGATTCCATACAATACAGTACAAATTTCTCCTAATAATGGAACTTGGACATTATGTTCTGAACAAGCAACAAAATATGTTAGTAAGTATGATTAATTAAGTAGAAAAGAATTACAATATCATAATAATATAATAATAATAACAATAATAACAATAATAACAACAATAATAATGTTATTTATTATAATAAATAGGCTATAGTCTGAGAGTGGTGAATGATTCATTTCCAATAACACCAAATTATGGAATATCAAGGCCAGGACAAGAACAACCACTATTACTAACATCAAAAGTAGGAGTAATATCGTTGGTTGTTTATTCATCCAACACTAAATTCATATCATCATTATCTTGTTATAGAGATTACGTGATGAAATGTGATCAAAACACAGGAGCAATACCAATAAAAGATTCAGATAATTATTGTCTTGTAATATGGAATTCTAGTGTAGATTTACAATATGTTAATGTTAGTTTATCTTTTAATGAATCTGTATTTAATAATAATTTCACTAGTCCAAATAAACAAGGTGGAAATAATGTACCAATAGATGATAACAACAATTCCTTAAGTATTAATATTAGATTAATTAATATTTATTACCTTATTAATATTCCCTTAATATTAGTTCTAAGTTATTTAATTACGAATTTCTTAATTATATAGAATCTTTTATTATTCATTTAAATAAAAAATAACATTTCATCACATGACATATTTAGATAATAAATACATTTTTTTAGTTGACATTCCAAATGTCTTTTAAAAGTGTTAAAGTTAGTAGAGTGACAGAAGGCTCACAGAAAATTTTGATATATTATTGTCACCTTTCTATAGAATGGAAGTATAAATCAACAACAGGAAAATCACCTGGCTCAAAAAAGAACTAGGAAGACAAAGAAATCAGCAAAATTTAGTAAAATATTCTTACTTCTGACTTGAATTAAATTATCTACTATACTTTTCTAAAGCATTTGCAGCTATTTCCGCTTGAAAAAATAAATAGTTTGCTTCCTTTTTTAAAAAATATATTAAAGAAGGGGGAGCAATTCTTTTTATATATCATATCTAATATTATATTACACATAAATACTTTGACATATTTTGCTAATTTTAAAGCTTGAACTAATGGTTTCTAACATTGCTCTGATATAATACTTGCTCATACTTCTATAAAGGTTCCTTTGTTTCTTTTGAATTCGACCGATAAAGACATTGTTTTTTTAAAAAAGGAATTTAATTTAAATCTGTTATTGTTATTATTAATATGTATGTATATGACTGTTGTGAAATTGAAATTACACAGTGTATCTCGATTTAGCGGATATGTTTGTTCCAAAAAAATTATCCGCTAAATCGAGATATCCGCAAAACCAAGATATTATTACAAAGCTTTTATTTATATCATTGAATTTTTCCTTTACTTACTTTACATTATCTAGAATAAGCTCACCTGATTGTGCTCATGTCTCAGAATTGACTTGACTGAGATTAGTAATTGATTTCTTTGGCTTGATAACCAGGTGAGCTTTGGACAAAGCTTCTTCTTGACTGCTCAATCTGGCAACACACTTGCCATTTTCTGTAACTACTCCTTGGTCATTTGCTTGGAGAGTTTTTCGAGCTTCATTATATTGTTCTATTTTAGGAGCAAATTCTTCTCTTTTCATTCAGCAATGTCCACAATTTTCCTTATATTTAAAGAACAACATGTAAATGAAGATGCCTTAGACTCTCATCACTGGCAATAAACACAAGATTAAAATCGTTGGGCTGGTAAACCTGGCAAATCTCACTGATAGCTTTTTTTAATGATCGGTAGAAGGCTCCTTCATTCATCCTGAGTTGTTTCATATGCGTCCTTTCAATGAGTTTAGTAGCTATCAATGAATCAGCTTTGGGATTGCGAGTACGATTTATAAGTGCAATATATTCCCGTTTCAGAGTTAAACTTATAGAGAAGTCACAAGATTTATTTCTTTATATCCATTCATGTTTTTATTTATTTGCAAGTGCAATATGTTTGTTGTATTCCATAATAAAGAGCCAGCTTGGTTATCTATCTATATGACCAAGGTAAGTCTTTTTTATCTTTAGCACGATAATTGTTCATTCATGTTACAATTTTATATTTAAATAGATAGAGATAAGAAAGTATTAATAACAATTTATGCAAGTTTGTTTGAAGATGGAAATTTTCCTTAAACAACATATTAATATAGGATTGACTCTATATAAAATATAAATTTACATCAGACATACCATGGAACCCAAAAATTACGGCACTATCAGAAGTATTTTAAAAAAGAACAAGATGAAAAAATTCCACCTCATATTTTCAAGATAAATGATCAAGAATATTTGGAAGAAGAAAGAAAGTTTATCATGAAAAACAAGTAGAAGAGAAATAATTTGCAGCCATTTGAATGTTAACATTATCTGGTTTTGACAATGATATACTTAAACTCATCTCTGACAAAAGGTCAAATGTTATTGTAATGGCATTCCTGATGCTTGAGTAGGTTTAAGTTTTTAATACCTTTTACAGCTCTAGAAACCCTTTTTAGTTTTCAAATAAATTGAATTCATGAAAGGATCATTGACAACCTCTTGAGCTTTCACTATACCAGGATTAGATGTTTCGAAAAGAAAATGTTGAAACTTCATAACTTCTTTAAAATATACATCTTCAGCATAATGCCGAGTCGAGCCGAGTTTATACTTGGCTTGAATTCGGCTTGACTCAAACATAAAAAGGCACTACGTGGACTCGGCTCAAGCTCGAAAACTCTAGCAAACTCTCTATTTTTTTATAAAATTACCATTGAAAACAATAATGAAAATAATAAATGAAAGGATCATTGACAACCTCTTGAGCTTTCACTATACCAGGATTAGATGTTTCGAAAAGAAAATGTTGAAACTTCATAACTTCTTTAAAATATACATCTTCAGCATAATGCCGAGTCGAGCCGAGTTTATACTTGGCTTGAATTCGGCTTGACTCAAACATAAAAAGGCACTACGTGGACTCGGCTCAAGCTCGAAAACTCTAGCAAACTCTCTATTTTTTTATAAAATTACCATTGAAAACAATAATGAAAATAATAAAATGGGAATCCATGTTTAACAATATTTGTGCTTCTAATAAAAACCGTTTTTAGGCCTCCTCACGTTTCCCTCCTCCTTCAACTTTTCCCTCGAATTTTTCAAATGCTCTCTAATTCCTTCGATAGTTGACATTTTTTATGACAAAACCCATTTTTGGGCTCGTAATTGGCTGCCAGAATTGACTGCGGCTCAAAACCCTGCCAGGATTTTGATGTAATATCTCGTGATTTAAATATAAATAAAATATTGTACATAATAAAATTATTTTATTTTATTCTAATTCCTATCATTACAATTTTGAAAACATGGTTTTTGTTCACAAACGTGAGGAAATGTAATATGTATTTTTGTACTTAACACACCATCAGGACAATACCTTTTTAATGGATGTTCTTTTTTATC